ATCTCCTCCTCACCCCATCTCCTCCTCACCCCATCTCCTCCTCACCCCATCTCCTCCTCACCCCATCTCCTCAGGATAGGGTTAGTGTCTCCCCATGCAGCGTACGACAAGGCAGCGGAGTAGTTCCAGGTGCAGTGCACCACCATCCCTCACATCCCCACCCCTCACATCCCCATCCCTCATCTCCCCATCCCTCACCTCCCCATCCCTCACCTCCCCATCTCTCCTCTCCCCATCCCTCCTCTTACCATCCCTCTTCTCCCCATCTCTCCACTCCCCATTCCTCCTCTCCCCATCCCTCCTCTCCCCGTCCCTCCTCTCCCCATACCTCCTCTTACCATCCCACCTCTCCCCATCCCTCCTCTCCCCATCCGTCCTTTCCCCATCCCTCCTCTTGCCATCCCTTCTTTCCCCATCCGAACCTCTCCTCTTCCCTCCTTTCCCCATCCGAACCTCTCCCCATCCGTCCTTTCCCCATCCGATCCCCTCCCCCTCTCCTCCATGTGTTTCCCACACCGTCCTCGGCCTTGCGGCACCTCCTCATCCAGTGTGCACCGCCATCTGCTTGAAGCTCTGTGGGCGGATGGTGGCGGACAGAGTCGCGCAGCAGAGGCCTACGTTGTGCTGCGGGGGTCCCTTTCCCCGGTCCTTCCAACCTCTCTTCCTCCCTTCATCACTCCCTCTCTTCCTGCATTACTCCCTTCAGCCCTCTCTCCCATCCTTCGTTTTCTGGATGAATTCCCATCCATTTCTCCTCCTTGCATCCATTCTTCTATCCTTCCCTTCCTCTGTTCCTCCCTTCATCCATCCATCCTTCCATCCGTCCTTCCCGTCGTCTGTTCCTCCCTTCCTCCTTGCATCCTTTCCTGTTTGCGGCGCGCTTCACCTCCCCCTCCCCTCCCCCGATCGCTCTGCGCGGCCTCATTGCAGGGACTCCTCGCAGGGAAAGAAGGGGAAAGGGAGGAGAGTGAGGCGGAGTAGGGGAAGAGGATGATTTCACAGTGAAAAGAGAGTGCAGGAGGGAGTGTGTGGTTTAAGCCACCTGTGTCTCCCTCCTCTTGTCTCCTCTTCTGCCGCTCTGCTACATCTCTCCAGCTGCAGCTTTGCAAGCTACAGCTGGTCATGTACGTCCCCCCTGTTTCGCCCCATACCCTCCCAACTGTTTTTACCCATCCCCCTCCCCATTGTCTCCCCTCTATACCTTAGATCTTATTTTCCCCATCTCCCTCTCCCCTGTTTCCCCTCTTCCCCGCCCCCACACCCCCTTCTGTATCTACAATCGGAAGAGCGTGCTACGGCTGCTGCTGTGGCGAGCGGGTGTTGTTGCACTCGAGAGTCAGTCACTAGGTGAGCCACACCACACCCTGCACACTCCTTCCCTGAGCTTCGCCCACGCTCACTCTCTTCCCATCGCCCGCCCCATTCCCTTCCGTCACCCACGCTAAGTCCCCTCCGTCGCCCATGTGCATTCCCCTCGAACGAGCACGCTTGGTCCCCGCCCTGTCCTATCCCCTCACCCCGCCCTGTCCTATCCGCTCACCCTGCCCTGTCCAATCCCCTCACCCCGCCCTGTCCAATCCCCTCACCCCGCCCTGTCCAATCCCCTCACCCCGCCCTGTCCTATCCCCTCACCCTGCCCTTTCCAATCCCCATCCCAGGCAAGCATGACAGAGGCCCAGACGACCTGCATGGACATGCCGCCTCCTCTTGCTCCTGTTTTCAGCATCTCAAAGGGGCAAACGAGCTACATTGCAGAAGGGACAGCAAAATGGAAACACAAAAGACTAGAGCAATGGCTCGAGCTTGTCTTTTGTCCTGGTACTGCATGCTTATGTCATGTGTATTTACATCTCAAATAAAATCTACATGGGTTTAGAAGCTTTACATCTTATCGCCTGATTTGTGTACTGGTTTACTGTGAAGGGGTTACAAACAAAACTAATAGAGGCTACCATAACAGCAGCATGAACAGCGGCTTGAGTACAGTATGAACATGTTGTAATATGCCGTTGGATGTCACAATGAGGGCACACAGCAGCCTCAAATGAAATCAAATCGTACTTGGTTGCTCCATGCTGCAAAGCAAAGCTCACAATCAGATGGAAGGTGGGAAGGACTGGAGAGGGAAAATAGAAACAGGGAAGGGAGGGAACGCAGGTGAGTCACAGGGTCGTGTAACCACCCCAGCCCTTGGAGTTACATGCCTGTTGAAGACAATAACAGGGTTGAAAAATGACAAGAGAGAGGAGGAAGGGCTGAGAGGGGAGGAACGGATGAGAGGAGTGAGGAAGGGATGATAAAAGGGGGGAGAGAGGAGAACAGGGGGGGGATAGGAGGACAGGAGGGAGAGAGGAGGACAGGGGGGGGAGAGGAGGACAGGGGGGGGATAGGAGGACAGGAGGGAGAGAGGAGGACAGGGGGGGGGGGAGGAGGACAGGGGGGAGAGAGGAGGACAGGGGGGAGAGAGGAGGACAGGGGGGAGAGAGGAGGACAGGGGGGGGGAGAGGGGGACAAGGGGGGGGGGAAACTGGGCGCAATCAGGGGGGGGGAACTGAGCGCAGTCAGGGGGGGAAACTGAGCGCAATCAGGGGGGGGGGGGGGGACTGAGCGCAATCATGGGGGGAAACTGAGCGCAATCAGGGGGGGAAACTGAGCGCAATCAGGGGGGGAAACTGAGCGCAGTCAGGGGGTGAGACTGAGCGCAATCAGGGGGGGGGAACTGAGCGCAATCAGGGGGGGGGGGAAACTGAGCGCAATTATGGGAGGAAACTGAGCGCAATCAAGGGGGGGAACTGAGTGTAGTCTGAGAGGGGGAAACTGAGCGCAAAATGGGGTAGAAACAGAGCAGCGAGAAAGACATGAATTAGAATGATCGTTGCGACGTAGGCGGATTGGGAAATGATGCGACTGAAAACGGAGAGTGAGAAGGGGGAAAGTGGCCTCCGCAAAATCGAAGCAGTAACTATTGAAGGGACAATAGATGAACGAATGGGAAGCGGAGAGAAGGCGGCGGGGTGGAAAACCAGGGCGTCGGCGCGAGAGAGGGGAGTAGGCATGGGCGACGGGGAAAGGAAGAGAGGGCGAATAAGATGGAGACTCGACGAAGAGTCGGCGGCGGGAATGAGAACGACGTCGACGCAGCGACAGATGGGAGAGGAGATGTTGACGGGGCGAGCGATGGGGAGGGGAAGCCCGGGCGACGGGCGGGGGAAGCGAAGGCGACGGGCGGAGGAAGCGAAGGCGACGGGCGGGGTAAGCGAAGGCGACGGGCGGGGCAAGCGATGGGACGGGCGGGGGAAAGCGAGGGCGACGGGCGGAGGAAGCGAGGGCGACGGGCGGGGGGGCGGCGAGAGCGACGGGCGAGGTGTGGGCGGTGGGCGGAGACAGCAAGGGCGACGGTCGAGGGTCGCGAGGTCGGCAAAGTGCTAAAGTCTCATCTCCCCACGCCCATTTTTTCCGTGCTTGACACTCGCGTCTTGCGCCTGTGTTTCCCTTCAATTGCATATACGCGCGGCACCTACTATTTCAGGTTGTCTGCGATGTGTTCACTAAAAAACCCTAGCTGGTGTGCGATGGTCGGATTCAAAAAGCGAGTGAATGAGTTGTTAGCTGTTCTGTCGCACCGATTTTCTTACTCTGCTCAAGTCGTCAGGATGTCGCCTTTTGTTTTCGCGTGCTCGCAACTTTCGCAATTCTTACAAACCTCACCCAACCAAACCGAGCCCAACCCGAACCTAGCGTTGACTCAGATATGTAATTCGGGCTTCGGGTTTTAATGACCGCGCATGGACTGGTCGAATACATGCGCGGTACATTTTTTGGCAATGCACGTCCAATCAGGCGCGGTCATAGAGGGTCACGAACATAAATCTCGGATAGTGAAGATCGCGAAATAACCATTACAGAAGTTTCGGGGATACAAATCCTTGCAGGGTAACGTGCTGGGTAAAAAAAAGCCAACGGGAATCCCCTGGCAAGGCCACTCGAGCAATTATCACTGAATTTGAGAACCACGCGAGCGAATCATGGCCACGTGGGCAACACCGAATCTTCAAACAAGGGTTTGGAGCAATTCTCTCCAACGGGGCGCTATCAGAGGATGCAAGCACGCGCGAGGATGGTCCGTCGCAATTTTGGCAGTGGTCCGTCACTGCAAATTTTGGCCAATTATGATAGGGAAACAGAAGAGGTCCGAGCCATACGTACTTACGAAAGCTGTGACGATGGCTAAACTATACTTACTCTTCATGGGCCGAGTGGAGATTACACTGATCCGGCCACAGTTAAAAAAAACAGACGAGCCCTTTAATGGACCGAGTTATAATCGTTGCAGTCCGTCTTCTGCAGTGTGGGTCCGAATATTTACTCGGGCGGCCACCCGACTCAGTTGCCCAGTTCGTCCCTGAAGCACACGACTTCGTAGCTCCTATTTAAGGTATAGAACTAGGCTTGGTATGTCTCGTTTTCGATACTATTTTTTGCCATGGAGGACTACGAAAAGCTTGAGAAAGTAGGCGAAGGTGCCTATGGAAAGGTTTACAAAGCGAGATGCAAGAAGACTGGCAAGACAGTAGCGCTGAAGAAGACTCGTTTGGAAATGGGGGAAGAAGGGGTTCCTTCGACAACCCTTCGTGAAGTTTCCCTTCTGCAAATGCTTTCGAAGAGCGTGCATGTCGTGCGGTAAGAACACAGCCAGTCCCGTCAGAGCCCTTCCCTCGGCTTTTGGTTTTGGTTTCCATCTCATCGCGATACTCGTTTCGTTTCTCAGATTACTCAACGTCGAGCACATCACCGAGTACAACAAGCCCATGCTTTACCTGGTCTTCGAGTACCTGGACACCGATCTCAAGAAGTACATGGATGCGATTGGCAAGGGCCCAAGCCACCCGCTGGACCCCAAGATTGTGAAGGTGTGCAAACTGATTGCTATTGGCTCCTCAGGGCGCATGAAACGTGTGTCTTTGTTGAGGTTACTGAGAGTTTCATTGACTTGATTGCAGAACTTCATGTATCAACTCCTCATAGGAGTTGCTCACTGCCATAGCCATGGAGTTATGCACAGGTGAAAGTCCAGCGCTGCTCGCATATTCCCGTGTCATCCCCATCAATAAAGACAAACTAATAAACCTTCTCGTACATGCAGAGACCTTAAACCGCAGAACCTTCTTGTCGACAAAGATCGGGGCTTGGTGAAAATCGCTGATCTTGGATTGGGCCGCACATTCACTGTTCCTATCAAGAGCTACACACACGAGGTAATGAATCTGACGTACGTGTAATAACGAGTATCAAAGGCTCCCACATCGTACTAATCCATAGATGCCGATTGCAGATTGTAACTCTGTGGTATCGAGCTCCGGAGGTACTTCTTGGCGCAACCCACTATTCCACGGCCGTGGATATGTGGTCGGTTGGATGCATATTTGGTGAGTAATGTCTGTCATCGACCTTCTCGATTAATGAGCATCTTCCCAAGCTAATACTCTCGTCGCGTTGGTTTCAGCCGAGATGGCATGCAAGGTGCCGCTCTTCCTAGGAGATTCGGAGTTGGAGCAGCTGCTCCGCATCTTCGAGTGAGTGGACATTTTTCTTGCCTAATCTCAGCATGGTTTAGCATGATCGACTAACCAATGTTACTATGTACCTGACTGTACAGGATTCTTGGAACTCCCAACGACAAAATCTGGCCTGGTGTCTCCGATCACCGTGACTGGCATGAGTTCCCCCAGTGGAGTGCCCAGAGCCTTGCTCGGTTTGTGCCAGAGTTGGACAAGAACGGTGTTGATCTATTGAAGGTACAGTAGTAAGCTGTTTTTTACTTAGCATTTGAAGAAAGGGTTTGCCTTCGTTTACTTACTGATTTCGTGCTTTCTGCAGCAATGCTTGGAGTATGAGAGCGTGTTCCTACGGGCCCCTATCAGGCCAGCCCCTTGTCAGACTCGCCTCAAACACCAGAATTTCGGATTAAACGCATTTTGTATGAGACGTTTTGATCGTTTGTGAAGTGCGCGACAAAATGCGTTGGGTGACGTGGCACTGCGCAACGGTCCCGAAAGGTTGCAAAGGAAAAAAATTCCGAGTTCAGACAGATTCCAGGCGATCGTGACGTGTGTTTGGCGGAAAAGTCTTTGTATGTTTCATACCCGTCAAAACAGCATGTGTGAAGAATTTCGCACGATTCCCTGACCATGGCTCGCTGAAACAGCACCTTTCGAAAGATTTCGCGCGATTGCCTGACAAGGGTCACTGAACAGCACGTGTCAAAGATTTCGCTCGACCAATTCATCGAACAGCATTGTAAATTTTCAAGTCTGGAAAACGGTGTTAATAACGAAATCGCTCGCATGCACCAGCCTGACAAGGGGTTAGCCTGATAGGGGTCTGTAGGAACACGCTCTGATCCCGCCAAGAGGATCACTGCGAAGGATGCTCTTCAGCATCCTTATTTCGACAACTTAGACAAGTCGCAATTTGATGCTCCCTTCTGAGTCCGGCACATCTAGCGGCCCACATGCATGCTAGACCCTTACTTAATCACTGTCATGTCAGAATAGGAGTTCAGTATTGAGAAAATTGAGCAAACCAAGAGCTTCATAATAGCAAAGAGATACAAGATATAGTAGTCCATTGAGAACAAGAACTAGAGGTGCACCACCAAACATTATACGGTACAAGATAACTTCTACCAGTATTGCTGGTCACATGGCCTTTGAACTTTGGTCTACGTCTTAGTGCCTGCCTGGTGTAGTACAAGTTAGCCACAACCGTGACAGTGACTTGGACGTTCCAAGCAGTGTCCGACTCTGACAGCACTCCTGCCTCGTGTACCACAAGCAGAGAATACATCCCCAAACCATGTCCCTATAAGCAGATCTTCACAATCTCACAGTTCTTCATGCGTCGCCGCGATGCTAAGAACTCCTGGAATTACACACATTTTACCGTACATGGGAAATAACTCAATACGGTACATGAGAGTATAATCTCCAGGGTTACGAGCTAGAAATGATTGACTCAGTTCGGCAAACAGGGAAGGCCAAAGCGAACATGCACGTCAGAAGGAACGCGTGGGTGGTTGTTAAGGGCAGGTACCATGAAGAAAGTGGAGTGGCCGATGACAGCGATGGTGGCCTCTGGGCACGCAAAGAGAAAACGGCGGAACTCTCCCACACGCTTGCGAAGGATGGCTGGTGTGCGACACGGGAGAACGGAGAGGAGGGGGGGAGTACTGCAAGCTGAGCTGGAATGCTTAGAAAGGAGAGGAGTCGAGCACAGACGCATGGAAGAGGAAATGGATGAGGCTATCCAGAAAGAGAGGAGGAGTTGCTGTAGGGTGAGAGATTTAAAATATTCAAACGAATGGAATAAGGAGGGCAATGAGAGGTGGAGAGGAGAGGAAGGGGGAGTGACAAAAAGGTGAGGAGTGGAAGAGAGCAGATGGGTGATGGGAGAGGCACAGGAGAGAGGGAAAACCATTAGGATGGGGTTTGGCATGGCTGTGTGCAGCATAGATTAGGGTTCTAGGCACGTGCGGTGCACACCAGCGACGGACACCACTTGCTGTTCTCACCGCGTGCATGTGCCCTTCCTTTGCGTCAGCTGTTGCGTCTGCCTTAGATGCCGAGCTTGTCGACTTTGCTGCTCACTGTCGTCTAGACTACGCTGCGAGTCTTGAGTCTGAGTCTGAGTTTGTCTGTCCTCCGTCCGTCGGGGGTGAGTGTGCTCTTGGCACGGACGTCCTTGAGGACAGGCAGGAGGAGTTTGAGTGCTTTGCCGCTGCTGTACCTCATCTCGTGGCCATGCTGCTTGCACCTGAGGGAGACCCGGATGCACCAGACATCCCGACCCCGCACTCTTACGCTGAGGCGATCGCGGGTGAGTACTCCTCTCAGTGGCAGTCAGCCATGGACGTAGAGATGGCATCCTGGAAGTCCACTGGCACTTACGTCGACGAGGTTCCCCCACCTGGGGCGAACATCGTCAATGGCATGTGGATTTTCAGGGTGAAGCGGCCGCCAGGTTATCCGCCTGTCTTCAAGGCTCGTTACGTTGCTCGAGGCTTCAGTCAGCGAGAGGGAGTAGACTTCTTCCAGACCTTCTCCCCCACCCCGAAGATGACCACTCTTCGGGTGCTACTGCACGTTGCCGCTCAGCGTGACTACGAGCTTCACTCTCTTGACTTCAGCACAGCTTTCTTGCAGGGCAGCCTGCACGAGGAGATCTGGCTGCGCCGCCCTCCTGGCTTCACTGGGTCGTTCCCTCCTGGTACCCAGTGGAGCCTCCGGCGGCCGGTCTACGGTCTCCGCCAGGCGCCACGTGAGTGGGACGACACACTGAGGACTACACTTGCTGCTCTTGGGTTCGCGCCTTCTACTGCTGACCCGTCGCTGTTTCTGCGCACCGACACTTCGCTGCCGCCGTTCTACATCCTCGTGTACGTCGACGACTTGGTCTTTGCCACTGCTGACACTGAGGCTCTCGCCCACGTGAAGTCGGAGCTGCGTAAGAGACACACGTGCACAAACCTGGGTGAACTGCGCAGCTACCTTGGCTTGCAGATCACCCGGGACAGAGCACGCCGCACCATCACACTGACTCAGTCACACATGGTGCAGCAGGTCCTTCAGCGCTTCGGCTTCACCTGGTCCTCGGCACAGGCCACTCCTCTGGCTACAGGTCACTCGCTCTCAGCTCCACCTTCGGACGAGTCCGTAGAGCCGAGTGGTCCTTACCCAGAGCTAGTTGGCTGCCTCATGTACCTGATGACTTGCACTCGTCCTGACCTCGCGTACCCTCTTGGCCTTCTGGCTCGCTACGTGGCTCCTGGTCGGCACCGAAAGGTGCACATGGATGCTGCTAAGAGGGTACTGCGCTACTTGTGCAGTACATTAGGCATGGGGCTCGTGCTTGAAGGGAGGGTCCTCTTGTTCTCACTGGGCACTCACACGCTTCTTGGGTTGACGACCAGGCTACTCAGCGGTCGTCACAGGGTTACACCTTTAGCCTTGGCTCTGGTTCAGTTTCTTGGTGTTCTACACGCTCGTCTTCAGTTCTCAGCTCCAGTTGTGAGGCTGAGATCTACGCCACAGCCATGGCTGCACAGGAGTTACGCTGGCTCACCTACCTGCTGACCGACTTGGGAGAGCCGCCTCGTTCTCCTCCAGTGCTGTACGTCGACAACAAGGCTGCCATTGCCTTGTGTGAGGAGCACAGACTGGAGCACAGAACGAAGCACATAGCTCTGCGGTACTTCCTGGCTCGAGAGTTGCAGCAGCGTGGTCAGCTTCGTCTGCGTTACGTGGCCACTCGGGCCAACACTGCTGATATATTCACCAAGGCACTTCAGTCTGGTGATCATCGGCGTTTTTGCACTATGCTAGGGCTTGTGCCCACTTTTCCTCACTTGCTGTAGTCTTTGCTTGTACTGTGATCTATATATATATACCTGCATGCTTGCTTTGCTAGGTAGAGATCACTGTGATGTTTGTGTTGCATATTTGCCTCTGCATGTGAACTGGCCTTGTGGCCCTTTGCTTGTGCTCAGTGAGTGTGGTGACCTTGTGATCCACCCTGAGCTTGCTTTGCCCTTCTTGACTAGTCTTGTGACCCCTTGCTCTCCCCCACTTTGCCTATGGGGGTGTGTCAAATGTCATATCTGCTACAGTTTGTTTAGGCTGTAGTGGGGTAATTACTATGGGGTACAGTAAGTTTAGGGTTTCCTACTTGTACCCAACTCTTTCCTAGTTTAATCACTCTTGTTCATTCTGACATCATTCAATTCAAACTCTCTTTTCTGAGCTCGATCCTAGATCCTCACACTTGGTATCAGAGCTTATTTAGACGCGATGTTTTTCGACCGCTAGCTTTTAAAACCGCGGGGGCGACGGCGGAAAGCGCCGATTTCGAGTACATAAACCAATTCCGCGCTATTTTTTAACGTCCCCCTCGAACCGGTTTTCGAACACTCCTTAGGTCGAGTGGCGAAAAAGTTGGATTTTTTACCGTCGGATCGATTCGAATCTCAACGGCCCTGAGAATTTCGCCCAAAAAAGTTGGAATTTGGAGCGTCGGATCGAATTTCTTCTCAACGGCCAAGATCGAACACGAATTTTGACTAAGGGAAAATTATTCGACCTACAAAATCAGCGCTCGTCATTTCTACAGTCGATTCGACTTACAGTAAGATGACCAGCGCCTAGATTTTTTTTTTTTTTTTTTCGCAAATCTTCCTGTAAATCGCCAAATGGAGGAAAATGGTGATAATTACGTACGAAAAATTACGGAGTTACACACCGGCCTGGACCAGACGCGAGCGGCACTCCAGCGAATAGAGGAGCTTCTCGCGAACCAGTCGGCAGCCGCCACAACAGCAGCGAATGCAGCAGCGACAGCAACAGCAACAGCGTTGACACCGACACTTCACCCAGCAGCAGCGGCAGTGGCTACAGTGAATCTTGAGGCAGCACGTCTGAGGTTACTGGAGACGTTCAATCCGAATGCGAGAGACACCGGCGTCCGCCGATTCATTGCGAACCTCGAAATTTACTTCGAGGCCGTTGGCTGTACGACCCCGCCACACGATGCAATGCGAATTCAGCTCGCAGCGACACTGTTACGAGGCCCGGCGCTCGAGTGGATTTACAATAGCAACGAGGTCCGAGGCGAGGGGTCATGGACGCAGTTTCGGGCAGCTTTAAGTCAATGTTTCGAACCAATCAACTCCAGCTATATGGTGCGGCAGCAGATTCATCGGCATAAACAGTTTGGTAGTGTAACATAATACACGCAGCAGATG